CTCCTCTCCCGCAGTCTGGGAATGACCATTCTACTTTCTGTTTCTATCAGTTTGACTACTTTAGACAACTCATATAGGTGAATTTGTATATAGTATTTGTCCTTCTGCATTTATTTCATTTAGCATAATGTCCTCCAGGTCCATGCATCTCATAGCATATGACAGGATTTCCTTTGTTGTGGCTGAATAATATTTCATCATATGTGTGTTTATGTGTAGATGTGTATACATATCTCACATGTTCTTTATTCATATATCTGTCAGTGGATGCTTAGGTTATTTCTGCCTCTTAGCTATTGTCAGTAATGCTGCAATGAATATTAGAGTGTATATTCTTTTTTTTTTTTTTTTTTTTATGAGACAGAGTCTGGCTCTGTTGCTCTGGCTAGAGGGCCGTGGCGTCAACCTAGCTTGCAGCACCCCCGAACTCCTGGGCTCAGAGGATCCAGCTGCCTCAGCCTCCCGAGTAGCTGGGACTACAGGCATGTGCCACCATACCCGGCTAATTTTTTTTATATATTTTAGTTGGCCAATTAATTTTTTTCTTTCTATTTTTAGTAGAGATGGGGTCTTGCTCTTGCTCAGGGTGGTTTTGAACTCCTGACCTTGAGTGATCTGCCTGCCTCGGCCTCCCAGAGTGCTGGGATTACAGGCATGAGCCACCACGCCCAGCCTAGAGTGCATATTCTTGTTTAGTTCTTTTGGGTTTATGCTCAGAAGCGGGATTGCTGGATCATATGGTATTTCTATTTTTAAATTTTTGAGGAGCCTCCATACTATTTTCCATAGTGAGTGGCTGCACCATTTTATATTCCCATTAACAGTGGACAAGGGTTCTAATTTCTTTATATCCTTGCCAACACTTGTTATTTTCTTTTTTGGAATAGCGGTCCTAACAGGTGAGAGGTGACACCTCACTGTGGTTTTGATTTGCATTTCCCCAATGGTTAGTGATGTTGGGCATCTTTTCATATACCTGGTGGCTGTTTGTGTGTCTTCTGTGGAGAAATGTCTGTTCAAGTCCTTTGTTCATTTAAAAAAAAAAAAGAGTTCCCAGCATTATTAATGTATAATTGATAAATAAAATGTTGTACTATATATTTACAGAGTACAATATGATGTTTGTTATATGTGTACATTGTGGAATGATTAAGTCAAGGCAATATATCTATCACCCTTTGCTCATTTTTTAATTGAATTATTTGGTTGTTTTGGTTTGTTTGTTGCTATTAGGCTTTATAGGAGTTCCTTCTATACTTTGGATATTAACCCTTTATCCACATATTTGGTTCGCAAATATATTCTCCCATTCCATAGGTTGCCTTTTCATCCTGATGATCGTTTCCTGTGTTGCACAGAAGCTTTTTGGTTTGATGGAATTTCGCTTGTCTATTTTTGCTTTTGTTGCCTGTGCTTTTGGTGTCATATCCATGAAATCATTGCCCAGACCAGTGTTATGAATGCTTTTTCCTATGTTTTCTTATAGGAGTTCTATAGTCTCAGGGCTTACATTTAAGTTGTAATCGTTTTTAGCTGATTTTTGCATATGTAAGATAAAGGTCCAGATTCTTTCTTTTGCATGCAGATATCCAGTTTTCCCAACACCATTTGTTGAAGAGATTGTTTTTATCCCATTGTGTAGTCTTGGCATCCTTGTAAAAGAGTATTGACCACATACGTAGGGGTTTATTTCTGTCTTGTCTCCTCAGGGGAAAACATCCTAAGAATAATTTTCATATTTATCCCAATTAAAGCATTAGATGTTTTACAAATATACAAATGTACACTCACACACATATCTATCTACAAAGTTGTAACCTAAAAGATGAATCATATCTATGACAAATTAGGATTACTTGCTTTTAAAATCTTTAAAATGATAAGTTTTAAGTTATCATTTTAAATCAAATCTGCTCTATTGTTAGTTCTCATGTTAAATAGCTATTTGATACTGCAAAGAATTATTTCATTATAATGACATTTGTCAAGACCTTTCTGGAAAACCGTGTCAGCATATTGGCTTTATGAAGATGCTAAACATGTAAGAAAGAGAAATGAAGATGATTAAAGGAAAACGTTAACATGAAAACAAAGGATAATTGAGGGTGGCTTGTAGCTTATGTTTACTTCATAGGGGGCAGAACTAAATGAACAGAGGATATACCGTTTACTAATAGGCCAAGATTTGGTGCCCTGAAGACATGTCTGAACATACTAGTCTGTTAGTTCACCTTCTGGTGCACATAATCTTGCTTTCCCTATTTGATTTTCATATAATCCCTACTTCCATTCAATGTGTAGACTCATGTTATCTGCCTTCATACAATGACTTGGACTTAGATACATAAGCCGTTAATAGACAAAAATGACAGTGCTGCTTCTCAGCCAATAGTTTGATTTTAGCAGCTTTGCCATTTTTATTTTAATGGAGGTGGTTGTATAGTTATTTTCCTTATTGCATTTTTGCATACTATATTATAAAAAGGTTACTTGATAGTTTATTTTAAATGCTTATGCCAATGGTAAGAGTAGTTCTTATAAACTTAATATAGTTGACACCAGTGTAAATGATTAGGCATACCAAAAAGGGAATCATTTTAACTTCACTTAGGTAGCCATTCAGTTTAAGATTATATATTATTTGTTAAGGAAAAGAATGAGGTTGTAAAGGATTTTATGAAATGTTTGGAATACAGTGTTTGTCAATTTGTATCTAAAAGGCAAAGAGATATTAGGGATTCTATGCTGTTACTATATTGTCGCTTTCAGGGAAAGACCTATCCTCATAACATTCCTGTCTCTTCTTCTGCTTTTCACACATTTAAATTAATATACCTGTTTGCAGGAAAGCATTATACACTATATAGAGAGAAATGCCTATAATTTTGTTCGTTGTATCTATTCTGTTAGTAATCCACTTAAAGCACCTGCTACAGTTTGGGCAACCTTTTCCATTAATGGATGGTAATAATTTTATCACCTTAGAATAGTGTTAGCCACTATAACAACTAAACTAGAACATACCAGTGGCTTAACATAACAAAATTTTATTTCAAGTTTATGTAATAGTTCAATGCAAAGATTCAAGTTTTTGGATGATTTTCTTCCTTTTAATGACTCAAGGACCCAGACTTCTTCCATTTCCTGAGGACTTGCATTGTCATATAGCCTGCTGGTGGGAAAAGAATTAATGGGAAAGGGAGATGTTACTTTCGCTTATGTTCCATTGGCAAAAACCAGTCACATCAGTATGCACATTGACTGGGAAACGTTGTTTTTGACTGGATAACTGCCTCCTACCAATAACTTGAATACTACGGAAGGGAGAACACAGATTATTTGTGGATGGCTAGCCAGCTCTGCCACAATAATAATAATGTATTTTTTTCGTGTGGCTGCTGTAAAAATTACCACAGACTTGGTGATTTGAAACAACATAGATTTATTCTCTTTAAGTTCTGGAGTTCAGAAGTCCAAAATGAGTTTCACTGGGTCAAGATCAAGGTGTCAGCAGGGGGAAACTCCCTCTGGAGGCTCTAAGGGAAAATGTATTTCCTTTCCTTTTCCACTTTCTAGAGCTACATTCCTTAACTCTTGGCTCCTTCCTGCATCTCCAAAAGTCTGCAGGTTATCATCTTGCTTCAGTTGTCACATCGCCTTCTTCTGTAGTCAAGTCTCCCTCAGCATCCCTCTTAGAATGACATTTGTGATTACATTTAGGGCCCACCAAGACAATCCAAGATAATCTTTCCATCTCAAGATCTTTAATTGAATCATAGCTACAAATATCTTTTGCCATATAAGCTAACATCTGCAGGTTTCAGGGATTAGGATCTCTATACCTTTGAGGGGCGTTATTTAGTCTACTGCAAATAATTGACATTTATTGAACACGTGCGCCATGCATGTTCTGAGAACTTTGCATGTATTCGTTTGTATTTTCTGCCTTATTCATTATGTACTCTACTTGTAAAGTTGCCTGTTTTTCTCAATTAGGTTTTCTTTGGTTGGGGGATCTTCTGGAAGATGAATTCTTTTATTTATTTATTTTTTTTTCTTTGGCACATCATTAGGGATTAATGGAAGATGAATTCTTTAATGTCTACAAATTTTTCAAAACTTCTTGTACTCGTAGAATTGGAGTTTTAGAGATTATCTAGTCTAACCTCCTGCTCTACAGTGTCTAAGTGCTAGAATTCTTTTCTTGGGCCTGTTGATTTTCATCTTTGTGATATATTTCTTATGAACTGTGAAGAAAATTCTTTAAATCAACACTTAAGTTCCTTTGGATTATAATATTAATGCATTAAACTTTACTTTCTTCCTACGTAAATCTACATTTTTTACTTATCTTTAAAAATTGAGTATGTGGAATTTTTCTTTGGATTTTTTTCCTCACAAAAATGTTGAGTTGAATTTGGCCATCCTCATAATCACATAGAGTTGACTTACTTAATAGGAAAAACTGATGTATTTTGGATCAACAACATTTCATGGGAAAGTTATGATTAAAAAACCTAAAGCCAATAATAGGTTTTAATAGAAATCAGGGTAGTAGTAAATAGGCAATTAATTGTATAAAACATGCTAATAATTGGATGAACTGAAGCCAAAAGCTGATATTCCTGATTTAGAGTCACCATGGAAAGGAATTTTATGGTGTTGTGGATTCATTCTCTCAATAGTTCTTTATTGGTATTAGGTGCTAAGGATACAAAGGTGATTAAAGCATAATCCTGTCCTAGAGGACTTCGTATTCTAGTGAGGGCACAGACACGAGGACACTGATGTAGTGGAATAAGGGCTGTGATATGTATTAGTGCAAAGATCACTATAGAAATTGTGAAGCTTATAGTTATAAGAAACAGAAAGAGACTTAAACAATACAGGAATTTATTGGTCATATACAGGTATATGTGAAAATTATAGAGGCAGATGAGGCTTGCTATGGTAGCTCAATTATGTCATTAAATGCCCTTCGTTTTCTTTTTTTTCCTCAGTGCTTTCCACAGATCAGCTTTATTCTAAGGCTGGCTCCCTTTGAGGTTGCAATGATGACTACTGATAACTCTCAGGGATACCCCAAGAAAGAGAGCTTTTGTCTTCTAACCGTAAAACTCAAGTCCTGGGTTCAGTCTGACTAGATCAACTTTGATTGCATGTCGCCTTTTCACTAGATTGGAGAAAAGCATAATTTTGGGGTGGGTGAAAAAATAAAAGTCCAAAACCTCCAAAGTATTTAGTATATCCATGAAAATTGATATTAGTCCCATTATAGCTTTATTATTTCTAAACTGGATTTCTTCTTAATAGACTGAAAATCAGGAATTCTTAATGCTGAGAAGTGATTAAGAGGACCCTAATTCAGTGATTTTCTTCTGAATTTTTGAAAGCCTAAAAATTCTGTTCTCCCTTTGGAGATCTTTGATTTTATGCCCAAGTCACTTTGGAAATTAAGAATCTGACGTATCGACTATCTCTTCTCCATTACTTCTTCCCTTCTAACTGGGACAGTAATGTGGGTTTTGATAATGGGTTTAAATGATCATGATTGGTCTACTTCTAGTCTCAATTGTATTTGCATTAGGAAAATGCCAAGGCCAGAAATATCAGGGCTTATGACATCATACTTATTATTTAAACAGTAATTGGGGAAGCCTTCTGTTTTTTTACTTGGCCGCTAATATACATTTAACCAGGCTATTCGTAGTGTATAATACTTTAAAAACTGGATTAATAATACAAAGCTACTTTTATTTAAGTGTAAGTACTTCCATTTGTTCTCCTTCTGCATAGTCTCTGGTTCACTGCATTTGCATTCACTGCTGTTCTGTTTCTCTCCATGACAAGTGTTCATTCAGGAGCCACAGCATGTGACACTGCTATAGGATTGCCAGATCTTATTTTGGAGAATTTCGGCAGGGAGAGAGTAGGAGAGAGTTTATTTGCTAATAGTGTGACCAGGCGCAAATACAATCCCATTCTGCATCCTAACACAGTTGGAACAAGGCACTTAAATACAAGATAAGCCTGTGTATGTGGGCCATCTGGTAACCCAGTACTGCTACAGTGTAGGCCTCTCAGCTCTCCAAAGAGCCAGTGGAGATATATTTGACACACTTGGTGTATAAGGGTTCCTGCCGTAACTTAAAAAAGAATTACTTCTTTGTGCTAAAATTATATTAAATGTTATTTAGTAATAAGGGAAAAGGTAATATCCTAGTGATGAGTTAATACTGATGATTCTCCAAGGCATAATAGTAATAATAGTAAATACTTATATAGAGCTTACTCTGTGCTAGGCACTGTTATAAGCATTTTACACTTATTAATTTATTTAGCTGTTAAACAGCCTTATGAGATAGGTTGTTATTATTTTACTGAGGAAGAAATTGGCACACGTAAGTCTAGTAATATTTGCCCAGATTCATATAGCTTAGTGAGGAATAGAGTTAGGATTTGAATCCAGAAAGTCTGGGAGCAGAATTCATGTTTTTAATTACTATACTTTCTCTGAAATTAGGACTGAAACTATTCATTAAAAGTTATACCATGGACTAATTGGTTATGTTTTATTTATAACACATTAATTATGCTATACTTGTTAATAAGTATAATTATCTTATTATGTTTTGAAATAAATGAACATTTTGAAATTAATCTTACCTACTAAATATTCAACATGCTTGTTTTTTATTCTAGGAGAAGATTTTGCAGTTGTGCAGCAAGAAATTATTATGATGAAAGACTGTAAACACCCAAATATTGTTGCTTATTTTGGAAGCTATCTCAGGTACATTGTTTATTTCCCTTTGGACAAGCAGTAATGATTTCATCACCTAATACATTGAACAAAATAAACTTAGCTTTAGTACCATGTTTTGTAGTTTTCTTCATACTTTGAAGATAGGTTATTTTCATAAATGGAATTTTTATTTATGACCTATTATGTTAATTCTGTAACCAATGTCACAGTCTTGTGACTTGGGAATCCTGGATGTGGTTTCAGTGAGGAAGCTGGCAAGTAAAAACGAGCTTTTATGGTTAGTCTTCCTGTGGTAGACTAGAGATCTAAATATGCCATTCTATTGCCCCTTTCTTCTAGACTAGGCGTCCTCAAACTATGGCCCGCGGGCCACATGCGGGCTGCCTAGCACATTTATCCGGCCCTCTGGGTGTTTTTGCCACCACTGCCTGTCCTTCTTAGCAGCCGACTCGTTCCGGACCCACAGTGCGCACTCTCCAATGGACTGAGGGACAGTAAACTGGCCCCCTGTTTAAAAAGCTTGAGGACCCCTGTTCTAGACTAAGGTGTATTTAGAGTCAGGAGCCTCACTTCCTGTTATGTTTATAATCAGAAACTTTTATTTGTGTTTTGTGCTTCTAGTCTAAGAGTACTATATTGCCTCATCCCTTTCTTTTATTTTGTCCAAAGGACTAGGACCTATCATTATTTCAGCAACTTATTTTTCCAGGTCCTAAAGTGAACTAAAAAGGACTATGAATTTTCCTCTTTTCCTCCTCTTGTTCTGTTTTGGCAGGACCAAGCCAGGTTCTGAGGTGATAGTCCATAGGGGATCACCTCAGGGTCACATCTTGTCTTCCTTCCTTCCTTCCTTCCTTCCTTCCTCCCCTCCCCTCCCCTCCCCTCCCCCCTTTTCCGACAAGAGTCTGACTCTATTGCCCGGGCTAGAGTGCCGTGGCATCAACCTAGCTCAAGCAACCTCAAGCTCCTGGGCTGAAGCAATCCTTCTTCCTCAGCCTCCTGAGTAGCTGGGACTACAGGCATGCGCCACTATGCCTGGCTAATTTTTTATATATATATTTTTTAGTTGTCCAAATAATTTCTTTGCATTTTTAATAGAAGACAGGGTCTTGCTCTTGCTCAGGCTGGTCTCGAACTCCTGACCTTGGGCCATCCTCCTGCCTCAGCCGCCCAGAGTGCTAGGATTACAGGCGTGAGCCACTGCGCCCAGCCACATCTTATTTTTCCATTGTATGTGCACCGTGAATTGAACACTAATTTAGTTGTTTATAAGTTTCCTTCAAAGGAAGGGTTGGAGAATATTTCCCTATGTATTAAAAAACTCCAATATACTGTAACAACATCCATTATACTATAATTTTTTACAGGTTCCCATTCTCAGATGATCCAGGTACTAAACACTTTTCGTCTTCTCATTTGGGCACAGCAGATAGAAGAGACTGGGGAATTCTACCCTCTTATCTTTCCAGCTTGTGAAAAGCCAACTGGACCAACTCATCTTGGTCCTAAACCACTCTTGTACAGCTTTGATTGCCCTGGTTAAAGTAGTGGGTGGGTTTAATGGAGTTTTAAGGAGTTAACTAGCCCTTTTCACATAGGGATAGGTACTACCCCTAAGTCAATGACTGTTATAGATTTTAAATGGTTTCTTTAACAGTTTAAAGCTACTTTAATGATGAGTGGTTCAAATAGCAACCTAACACGGATACTGCATCAATTTGTACGTTAGGGAGCAGACCCACCACAGTATAGGCAATTATGATGTCAGCTCAAAGAAATAATCTCTTAAAATCATTTAAGTTCATTGTATCAAATAATTGATTCCTGCCAATACAGTTAAAATCACCAGTTCAAAACAGTTTGTTTTAATGCCATTAGTCCTAACAATATGACCTACCTAGGCTCAATTAGGGGAAGCATTACAGAATTTTTCCCCCAAGGACAAGCTGGTCTTTTAAAGAGAGTTCTTGTGTTTCCCCTGGGACATTGATCAAAGCATTATTTCTCAAACATCTGAATCTTCAGAACTGTGAGACCATCCAAAGCCTAACCTATTTCAGCATGGCTCCATCCATTTATATAGCACCCTTAGCATGGTGAAATGAGCATGATCTTTTTGCCAGAGAGATAATAGTGCCTTTGATAGTTAAGAGCTTGAGTTCTGGGGTCAGATTGTCTGTGATGAATCCTAACTCTCACTTATTAACCATATACATTATGGCAAATTATTTAACCACTCTGTGCCTCTGTTTCTTCATCTATAAAATAAGAATGATAATATCTACACAATGGGATAGCTGTTAGCACTTAATGGGTATGTGGAAAATGCTAAGAACAGTGCTTAGCACATAATAAATGCTCAATAAATATTAACCCCTATTGCTACTACTATTGCTGCTGCTGCTCCTGCTACTACTTCTTAACTATTTTTAAAGTACTGTTATTTTAGTGCCTCATTTGATCTTTTTTATAACACAGTTAGCAATATAACTCTATGGTAGAGGTTATTTCCATCTTACAAATAAGGTGCTTGAGAGAGTTTAACATCAAGATATTATTTTATGATTTTATTTTATTCCAAATATAAAGAATATAGGAAGCAGAATTGCCCAGAAACTAAAGTAAAATACACAATGTTAGGGTTATTTTTTTTAGTAGAACTATGTTCTTGTAGTATTATATAATAATCTGTAACTAGTATAGCTGATCAAAGTGATATGAAAGGAAACATAGATCAGCAACTAATGTTCCTTTTCTCTAGCTTTTTTCTTTTCTTAGAGATTCTTCCCATATTCTCAAATTGAATTTCAGACTCAGCCAGGAGTAGGAAATCCTAATGGTTAGACTTGGGGTGTTAGAGCTGGAAGGGACTAAGAGATCTGTCACTCAGATCTCTTTTTTACAGAGGAGAGATGGAATGCTGGATAAATGACTTCTTTAGGTTATCCAACTTCTGATTGGCACTGGGAGTTAAACCTGACCCTGCAGATACATAGTTCAATGTCCTTTTGGTATACCATATTGCTTAGCCTAGGAAGGCCAGATTTAGTCTCAGGGGAAACATGATTTCTTGGATTCTTTCTCATTACTGAATAAATTTACAAAAGGGGAATCTTGTTTGAAAAGACAGAAACCTCTTAAGATATACACTGTTCCCTATGACTTTCTTCATCCATGTTGTTGCTAGTACAGTCTATTATAACAAATTTAGACAAAACTAGGAGGAAACTGAATAAATGTTGTTTGGCCAGTTTCTGCCTCAGGGAATCAGACTTATCCTATGAATTTTTTTCACAGATGACCAGCATATAATTAAGCTCCAGGAGCCCATCTTATAACAGGGTGGCTGTGCTCACTTCCATAGAGATACTGACACTGAGTGCCTATAAAATAGATTACTTGACATTCTTCTTAACAGGGCCTTTCCTATTCCACTTTTCAGTATCATTACATCATACAACAACTAGGCAGACAAAGCTTTTCTTTAGAGGTTTAAAAGTTAAATTGTCCTGCTTTAGTGTGTATTTGTATCAATATTTGTATTTTGTGTATTTATAAAACAAAAAAGTTAAATCATCATGAATCTAGTCCTTACTCTCCGTAGAGCTTAACTACTGCTTCTCTTTGTAGAGGGAGGGTTGGTTTTTTTCTTTTTGAGACAGAGTCTTGCTCTGTCACCAAGGCTGAAGTGTAGTCATCATTATAGCTCACTGCAGCCTCAAACTCCTTGGCTCAAGTGATCCTCCTGCCTCAGCTGGGACTATAGGGTATTGCTTCTTATAAGTTAAGGATTAGCTTCAGTTTCCTTCTAAGCATTCCTTATCCCAGCATATCTTTTCAGAATAAGTTAAGAAAATTCTGATAGTCCTCTCAACTGTGAACTCTTAAGAAAGCTTAGGTTGAGAAACAACAAATGATCCCTCAAAGATAAACCAGTAGAAGATCAGATCCATATAATAAAAACTGTATTTAGATTAGATGTCTTAAACCTTGGAAATACAGAATACTAGGTTAGATGAGCATAATTTATCTTATAATAACTTATATTTGTAAATCACCACCATTTACACCATTACACCATAGTTTACAAAGTATTTTACATTATTTCCTGGTATGTAGTGTTGTATTGATTCTGCAGATATAAAGATAGTTGAGGCCATGCATGATGGCTCAGGCCTGCAATTTCAGCACTTTGGGAGGGTGGGGCAGAAGGGATTGCTTTAGGTCAGGAGTTTCAGACTAGCCTGGGCAATATGGCAAGACCATGCCTCTACAAAATATGTAAAATTGGCCAGATGTGAGGATGCGTGCCTATAGTTACGGCTACTCTGGAAGCTGAGGCTGGAGGACGCTTGAGCCCAGGAGTTTGAGGGTACAGTGACCTGTGATTGGGCCACTGTACTCCAGCCTGGGCAACAGAATGAGATCCTGTCTGAAAAAAAAATAGAGAGAGAGAGAGATGAAACCTATCCTTGCCTTTAAGGAGTTTATAATCTAATAGGAGAAATACGATTGAGCAAGTAATTGCAACACAATATGCTAAATGCAGTAATAACTTCAGTGTAAGGCACAAAAATACTAAGAATGGTAGAATGCCTGATTTTGTCTAAGGGAATCAGAGAAAGCTTTTTGAATGATGTAATTCCCAAATATTGGCTGTTAAAAGACTGGTAGACCTTTATGTAGAAAATTGGAATTTTTGGTAAAGGGGACACATGCATGAAAAATCATGAAATATTCAGCAGATGGCTAGTAGTCTTATGTTAGAACCTGAGACGGAAGAGGGAGTACAGTCATTTCTTGGTATCCACAGGGGATTGGTTCTAGGATCCCAATGGATACCAAAATCCAAGGGGCTCAGGTCCCTGATATAAAACGGTATAGTATTTGCATATAACCTATGCACATTCTCCTGTGTACTTTAAATCACCTAGTGATTTAAATCTAGTATAAATTTAGTATAATACCTAATGCAATGTAAATGCTGTGTAAATAGTTGTTATACTGTATTTTCAAATTTATGTTATTTTTGGTTATATTTTTATTTCCCCCTCCCCCCAAAATTTTTCAATTCTTGGTTTTTGAACCTATAGTTGGTTGAACCTGCAAGTGCTGGACCCATGGCCAACTGAGGGCCGACTGTAGTTCCAGTAGGTAAGGCTGTAGAGATTGAGGCAAAAAGGAATCTTTTATGTCTTAATTAGCACTTGTAGGGATTGACCATACTTGTTGAAAGGTTTTAACAGTGAGGTAGTATGTTCTGTAGAAGATGGATTTGGGGTATACAGGATTGAAGCAGGCAATTTAGTTAAACTTATAGTACAGTTTTATTACAGTAATCCAGGGAACAGATGTTGGTCTCTTGAGTTATATAAAACTGGATGAAATTTTTTCTAACAGTACTGGGAAGGGGAACAGTACGATCTTAATGGGGAATGTGTTTATAAATGTTGTTTTGGATATTAAGAATATAAGAATAAAGATTACAGTTAAATCACTTTAATTTCTTCCCAGCCACCCTCTCTTTTTAAAAGGGGAAACTTTTAATTTGGGGATATTTTAGATGTACAGAAAAGTTGCAGAGATAGCACAGAGTTCTCTATATAGCCATCATTCAGCTTTCCCTGATGTTAATATCTTACATAACTGTGGTACATTTGTGAAAACTAAGAAATTAACATTGGTGCAGTACTATTAGCTAAACTGAGATGCTTCATTTAGATTTTACCAGTTTTCCTCTAATGTTGGTCTTTTCAGTTTTTGAGAGGAATTAGGAATATATCTTGAAGGCGATCTAATTTGTTTGTTTAAGGTGGGGTTTCTTACCTTCAGCACTGTCAACACTTTGGGCCAGATACTTTTCTATTGAGGGAAGCTATCATTTACATTGCAGGATAGTTGGTATCCCTATTCTCTGTTAGATGCCAACACCTCCCCTCCCCCCATTGTGACAGCCAGAAATGTCTCCAGACATTGCCAAATGTTCCCTGGGGGGCAAAATCACTCCCAGTTAAGAACCACTGCTTTAAGCAAAAAAATGTGATGGAATTAAAGATACCTCTCTATACCCATATTGCTAGTGTATTTTCTACAAATCATTAGTTATGAGGGTTGCAAATATGTGTTTTGCAAAAAACAGGTGCATGGAAAAAATAATTTGGGTAAATAATAAACTAAACAAAATTAGGAAAGTTTTATTTCTTCTTTTTTTCTCCTCCATCTTCTCCTCTCCCAACTTTCTCCCTCTTCCCACCTTTTCCTCCTCCTCTTATCCTTTCTCCTTCCATTTTGTTCCCCTTTCCCTCCTCCAACTCTCTACAAAATTTCTTTAATATAGCAGTGGTCTTGCTGGTTTCCAGGAAAAGACTATAGTATGTGCTATTTCTGAAACCAATTTAATTGTGCAGTAGTTTCTTTATGGAAGCATACTTCACTTAGGATTGTTGTCCAGTGGCCCATACTTTGGAAATATTATGCTGAACTGGGGGATTGCTAGGTATAATTATAGTGAAATGGGTAACCTTATAGCCCCTGAGAACAGAGCTCCCTCCCCGTCATTGTTGAAGGGGAAAGCAGATGGAATGGATTACCTGCAACTTTGAAATGCAGTAGTTTTTGCATATCTGTTTTAAAATGAACTCCAAAACATTTTAAATTTTTTGTTCATATTAACATTTTTAATTCATTTGTTCATATTAAATAATTTCTATTAAAACATCTAGCAGTTATTGAACTTTTTATTTTTCACGTTGATGATTAATGTTGAAGTTGAATTATTTTGCTGAATATGAGGAGTAGCCATTGGCAAAAGCTTTGGTCAGCAAACAGCCCATAGTCAAGTACAGGGGCCAGGGAACTCTGGTTTGGAGCAGAGCTAGCCATCCTGGCCAGTTTCTAGCAGACATTATAGAGCTGCTGATTCTCAGTGATCTTGGTAACACTTCATTTTACTTATTAAATTATGCTGTAGATTTGAAAAAAATATATAAATAATTATACTTAGTTTGTTCAGTCAGTTTTAAGTCTGTGATGTGTTGTAATGTATGAGAAGACTAAAAAGTGTGTTTAGAAATTGTAAGATTTTTTAGATCTATGAAATAGCTATTAGAATTTTCATTCCTGTATGCTCTAGTAACTGAACTAGAAGATTAAAATAACGAACTTTCTCTTCTCTATTTACTTTTCTGTTCCTTGTAAGATAGAAAGATAGTTTTATAAAATAAGAAAAAAATCTAAGGGTTTGTTGAGTCAGGAAATTAATACTGATATGGTGAACATTTACCTTGGTGGTTAATTTTATTCCTATTCAGATACATAGGAACAAAGATTTTATATATTAATAGTTATATATTAATTGTGGGCCTGCAGAAAATGGACTGATTGACTCAAGTCCTTTCCTACCGTGTTTCCCGGAAAATAAGACCTACCCATAAAATAATCCCTAGCAGGATTTCTAAGCATTTGCGGAATATAAGCCCTACCCTGAAAATAAGACCTAGTGATGGGCTTGGCTACACAGCGTATCTGCGCAACCCATGCATTTGATCGCAGAGTGGTAAAGAAGATGAGCAGCCCTTCTCATCTGCCCCATTGTGACAGCTCGTATCCCAGAGGTGACCGGAAAGGTGTGGGCAGCCCCACCAACAAGGTCGGTTCTCCCTGTCAGGTCCTGCCCATCCTGTGCATGCTGCAAGCTGAAGCTTTGAGGGGAAAATAACACATCCTGAAAATAAGCCCTAGGGTGTCTTCTTGAGGAAAAATAAATATAAGACCCTGTCTTATTTTCAGGGAAACACGGTAATAAGGCAGGTGGCTTGGTGAATCATCAAAAGCCAATGCAGATTTATTATCATAAGAGAGATATTCATAGAACAGAGGAGAATCATTTTTCCAGTAGACTCTGACCATTCAAGTTTTTTTTTTATAATATCAGACTTTGAATAGAATGTTATAAAGATGAAGTATTTTAGGGATCTTAAAAACTAAAGCTTTAATATATATAGTCCTGATTTTTTTTTCTGCCTAAAAGCTGGAAGGTCATTTTATATGGAATGAATAGAAAATTATGTATTTAAGCAAGAAGCATACTGCCAACTGCAAGCAGAAGGCAGTATGATATTGAAATATGTACGACAGCAGAGAACTCGTTTCCTGAATTCATTTTCTCTACCAAGGAGAATTGTTTTCAAGCTGGAAAGGGTAGGAAAAACATTATTAAGATAGAATTGTAGCATAAGAGATAAGTAATTATAGAGTAGCTAGTAAATGAATTTAAGCTTTTAGATTTATTTAAATTATATCTCATACTGAAAACTTAGCAAATGTGATTGTCATCCACTACCAGTATCTTTTGACAAATAGGTGTCAAAAATTAGAGATCAGAAATGACCAATTTGCAAATGAAGGGGAAAGGTGATTTCTAGAAAATACAGACTATTAAACCTGATGTAAGCCATCAATCACCAGCAAAACTCTAGGATAAATTAATAATCTTATAATTAGTGAACACTTATAAGAAAACAGTGGTCATTAGTGTGACTCTAGTAAGACATCATGCCATTTGTCCTCTATTAAGCCCACTGGCCATATTTTGCTGACCCCTGATCTAATTGATTTGTTTCTTCTTTTAGTCATTCATGCATTCATTTATTTATGGAAAAAATATTTATTTGCTGGATATTCTTCTAGACGATGTGAAGGCAGTGGTGTAAGAGACATATATTAAGGCACAATCTTTCTTCTGCATTAGATAGAGCTTGCTGAGTTCAGAGACTTTCTATTCTATCTCTGCCCCCTAAGAGTAGTACATTTCCTGGTACATTTTAAGAGATGAAGTAATGAATTATTGAACAAAGGAGTAAGCTATATAAATCTTTGCTGATTATTTCATCTATGACTATATGATTATAACAGGTTAGAATGTGAGTGTGAGAGAGAAATGCTGTCTAAAGACAAGTAAGTGTTAAATTTTAACAGTATTTTGGGGAGATCGTTGTTGAATCTAGATATGAGGGTAACATTTATATTTGTCTGTTTTGTTGATGGGAGTGCTACCAAAGTAATATACTTCAAGTTGTGTTCCTATTTTTCTGTGATGAATCTGGATAGATGCACAAACTGTAGGTGGGTGGGGGGAGTTTTTAACTAAAGTGAAATTTTCTCATTTGGAGTTATCTGATGATGACTTTATATCTGACAAATGGTATATTATAAGTATTAAAACTTCAGGTTGGATTATAATAACACATTATATTAGTAATTCATTTACTCAGGGATTAATTAGCATTTTCTTAGAAAACACATTGCATTTATGTTGTTTTTCAAGGTTTTAGCACACAACCTTAAAATACTTTTGACCTCAAACAGACAGTTTTAATGATGATACGATACATGCTTATTTTCTCTTTATAGGCGAGATAAACTTTGGATTTGCATGGAGTTTTGTGGAGGTGGTTCTTTACAAGATATTTATCATGGTAAGACTAAACTTATATTTTTATAGGAATTAGGTAGAATTTCTTAAAATACAGCTGTTTACTATATTAAAACATTAACATTATCTTAAAGAAAAATATGTTTTATCATTATGTTGTTTGGATATATAAAGGTATATATATGGAAGAAAGGAACATTTGCTTTATAAGTTGGAGAATTATATGCAATTGGACAGTTTGCCCGTCCTGAAGAAGGCACATTGTAGTTAGTTCAAAACCTTAAACCTGTGGAAATGCAAAGGCCTTGATGGCTAATCCTAAGCCAGTAGAATATCCAGTTGGTACATATGTGGTGATGATACACAGATAATTGATTTTGCTCTCATGTATTCAAGAAACATCGATTAAATGTTTACTCTCTAAGATAGTGCCAGATTCTGGGGCATTCAAAAATGATTAAAACATTTTCATTGGGATTCCATGGAGTATATAAGAGAGACTTGTAAAATAAAATAATCAGACTTTTTTATCTTTTCTTTCCCTCCTTTTTCTAGTCTGTTTCTGTTAATGGATTATTGTCACAAACTGCAGAGTAGGCATATTCTTTTGCTGGAGGTGTAGTTTTTCATTAATGTAAAATAAAACAGTGTCTATTTAATGATGTCAGCTTTCTCATAGTATTTGGGCTCATTTTCTAATGTGGAGCCTCTTAAGTAATTTTAGGGATGGATGGTAATAAAGTAGATATTAAAGGACTATTCGGAAGGGACATTTGTATTTTGTTTTACTGTCCTTAATTCCATCACCTTTTCCCTCTGATTTCTTAAAATGTTTAGTAAACTTTTCCTTTTTTACAAAGAATTATTAATAGTTATCTATTGGTGTATAACAAATGATCTCAAAATTTGGCAGCTTATGACATTTATTATCTCTCAGTTTCTGAGGGTTAAGAATTTGAGAATGGCTTAGTTCGATGATTCTAACGTACAGTGTCTGATGAGTTTGCAGTCGAGCTATTGGCTGAGACCGCAGTAACGTGAAGGCTTGACTGGGGCTGGAGAATTTACTTTGGAGATGATTCACTTATGTGGTTACTGCCAGAGACTTAAGTTCCGTGACATCTGTTGGCTGAAGGTCTCTGTTCCTCACTCTGTGGATCTTGTCGTAGGACAACTTGAGTGTCTTCACAATGTGGTAGCTGCCTTTTCCAGAGCAAGTGATCCTAGGGAGATCAAGGAGGAAGCTATAAAGCCTTTTATGATATAATCTCAGAAGTTGCATACTGTCACTTCTGCCATATTTTGTTCTTCAGAAGCAAGTGACTTAAGCCCAGTGCACATTCAGGAAGGGAATTAAGTTCCAACCCTTGAAGGGAGAAATATCAAAGAATTTGTATACATATTTTCAATGACCATAGTGAGGGGGCCACATTTTGAATTTACATTTTTTTCACAAGCTCTTTCTCCCCATTTTTCTCCCTCTAACTTTTACTTCCTTTTTTTTTAAGAACTAACATTTGAACTTTTTATTGTTCCAACATAATAAGTGTTTTTTTTCTATATTCCATTGAATTTTTTTGTTTAATATTATCTTTTAACAACTTTTTACTACCTGTTATATCATTACAGTGAATTGTTTTCTCACTTATTTTATGATTTTGAGGCTTTTTTTTAAAGACAGGATCTCGCTTTGTTGCCCTGGCTAGAATACACTGGCATCATCATAGTTCACTGTAGCCTCAAACTCCTGGGCTCAAGTGATCTTTCTGCCTCAGCCTCCTGAGTAGCTGGGACTGCACCATTACACCCAACTAAATTTTTTTGTTTTTTATAGAGACAGGGTCTTGCTATGCTGCTCAGGCTGATCTCAAACTCCTAGCCTCAAGTCGTTGTTCCTCCCTTGGCCTCCCAGCATGCTGAAATTACAGGCATGAGCCACTGTGCATGCCTCATTCTGGAAATATTTATTGTGCAGCTTCCCCCTGTGAGGCACTATTCTAAACACTGGAGATACAACAATGAGCAAATCATATTTAACAAACCAGAACCCTGCCCTCATGGAGCTTATATTGTAGTAGAATTGCCTAGGTTTAGTAAGTGTGTTGCTTAGTGGAACTTGTAAAACTTTATCATTTATTGGAAGACAGCATTGACTAATATTAATATTAATTCTCTTCTTTTATAGTAACTGGACCTCTGTCAGAACTGCAGATTGCATATGTTAGTAGAGAAACACTACAGGTAAATCAAATGCTAATTAAAAAGTAACTTTCTTTTACCAGGCAATGTTTGCAGGGGAAAAAAAAGTAACATTCTTTATTCAACTGTTTACTTGTCCATTACTTGTTAAATTAAGGATTAAATATTCTATTAATAGTTTGGTAAACTCTTAAAAAGAGTTTTTTATTGTGTAACAAACTAAGATTATATTTACAAATAAACACTTCCAAGTCTAAAGTTTACAATATAACCTAAAACTCAAGCACTATAAAATTGTTATTATATATTTTATATTCCTCTTAATACCAAAGAAAGGCTTGAAAATTAAACATTGTCGTGGAAATTGAAACTTACTTTGATACTAATTGGATATACACTGTTTGAAAGTTATTTCAAACTTTGCATAATTTAATGAAAATTATCTTAGAAAAATTAACTCATTTTCCTGATTCTGTTGTCAGGATATCTCATTAAAATATGTTAATGATTACTCCTAGATCTTTTGTAAGGAGTAAATAAAATGTACAGATTAATACCCAGTTGATCAGTTAAAATCCTAGTGTGTTCTGTAATAAAATCTTGTTTATTTTTTCTGTTTTATTTGAAACTCTAGGGATTATATTATCTTCACAGTAAAGGAAAAATGCACAGAGATATAAAGGTATACGCTATATTTTTAATCTAGTAACCCTATCTTCCTTTTAAAATACTCTTATCAAATTATGAGCAAAATGGTTTCTATCATTTGATTAATTTATCTGAAATATGTTACTATAATAAAAATGAGTGATACTTTGAAGAGTTTGATTTTAGTGAGATTCAATTCACACTATAAAACTCACCCATTTAAAATGTATAATTTAGTGGATTAATGTTTTAATAATTCATTTTAGCTTCTTTGTAGTTATTTATTTATAAAATGCTGATTCGGTCCATAGCTTTCTTCAAGTTACAATTTTTAGGAAGTTTCATGCTTTAAATATTCCACTAAGTTTTGGTAATCTTAAGGAACTATCATTAATAATGTATCAAAATGGATAAATTAAACCTTAGTATTTCCTGATGGCCTTTTATTCATTTGGCTGGCAGAGGAGAGCAGGCGCCCTGGATGTGCTGGTGTTAGCTCAGTGGTACAGCAGGTGCTGTGGCAGGATCCGGAAGTTACTTCTGAAGATACTGCCATTTCCCTAATTTAGATGTTTTTTCCTTTCATTCATTTTTCTTTTCCCTTCTTCCTTGATCATTCTTCCTCTTCTCTCTTCCCTCTTGTTTTCTCTAACATAAAGTTTCTTAACCTTTTTAGGGGGTGGGGGTTGGGGCAAATCATGTTGCTCTTTGAGTCTTTGATGAAAACCATGAACTGTCTCCTCAGAAAATGCCCATATACACATGCTCTCAGATTTTCCATGAAATTTCAGTGGACTTGCAGGCAACCTGTTGCGATCTCCTGCTTTAGGTATTTTTCATAAGTCATGAAAGCACATAAAGAACTTTGGAGGTCAGAGGTAGAAGAGAGCATAAGATGATCAATAACTTGAGAAAGGCACTGTTTCATTGGCAGGTAGATGATCTGGAAGGATTGGTACGTTTTTGTTAGAAGTGGAAGCTGGAGTGCATTCCAAGCAGAGAGAACAATGTGAGCAAAAGTACAGAGGTTAGAAAGTGTGATGCCATTTTAGAGAACATAAAAACGGTATCATATTATTGAAGAGAAGAGAATGTATTAAGAGTAAAAGGAGATAGGGTTGGTTGGGTAGTTTAGTATTCCGTTATGCAAAGACTTACATGCTGGACTTCAGAATTTGGGCCTAATTGGGAAGATTCTGACCATCAGTATTTCTACCCTTGTCTAAGTTACTATAACATATCTGAAGTAGACTTCTGTAATAGCCTTCTAACTGGTATTACCGCTCCCATTCTTAAGTGGTTCTGTAGTAACTTTTCCACCTGGCAACCAGAGTGATCTTTTTCAATCAGGTCTTGTCACTCTCCTGCTTATAATAAAACCACCATTGGTTTCCCATCTTACTCAGCATAAAGTCGAGATGCTTTTACCATGCCCTATAAGGTTATGCTGGATCTAGCCACTGCATTTCTCTGTGACCTCATCTCACACTCCAGTCCTGTCTGTTTTACTTATTCTGTTCTGGCCACACTAAACTTGCTGTTCTTGGAATAGAGCTTATTCTGGCCCCAGGTCTTTGTGTTTGCTGTTCACTTTTCATGGAATGTCCTTCTCCCAGGTTTTGTCATGGCTATACTCTTACTTCATCTAGATCTCTGCTTAAACATTACTACCTTAGGAGAAGGCTTCCGTTCCCTGCTTTATTTGTCTTCAGAGTACTTATCTCTGCTTGGCTTTGAATCATATGGTGGTTCATTCATTTGTAGGTAGAAAGATGATAGATAGATAGATAGATAGATAGATAGATAGATAGATAGATAGATAGATAGATAGATGATAAGTATATTTACTTTTAGATTTTCTTCCTTTTCTATTTGGATGTAAACTTCATGAGAGTTGAAACTTCTTCATTACATAACTCCAGAGATTAAAAACGTAGCTCCTGTCTGCTAGTAGTCTCTCAAGGAAAGTGGGATGGATGGAAGGAAGGAAAGAAAGGTGGCCATAATATACAAGTAATGTTTTCTGTAAGCTATAATTTAGGAAAATTAATCTGGAGCTGGGGGAGGCCAACTGAAGACTCTGGCAGAAGTCTAGATTGCTAAGGGCCTAGATCAAGTTAAAATCCCTGCTCTAGTCTCTTCTCTATCCTTTTTCTCCTTTTTGCTATTATTCCATAGAACTATAGCAATATCAGTGGATGAGTGCCACTTAGCTTCACTAGTGACATTTGGAATTTGAAAACCTTCCTGTTTATTTTTCTTCTGTTTTTTTCCTTTCAGTCTTCTGCTATTTCTTCCTTATGGTGGTTGGAGATGGTAGGGTCTCAGTATTTTTTCCCCAAAACCTGTACTTACATGATTGATGGCACCTTGTACTAAAGAGGCTGCTTACTTTGGCTTTCTCATTTAAAGGTAGAAAAGAATGGGGGCTGGGAGGGGACCTGTAATACCTTTGGGTACAGTATTTCTGCCTCTTCCAAAAGCTTTGAGCATATTGAAGTAGTCATTATCTTCTTTCAGCTTAAGGCAACAAGCAAAAGTGGCTAAAGTAGGCCTGGTGCACGGTGTTGCACACCTAGTCCTAGCTACTCGGGAGACTGAGGCAGGAGGATCACTTGAGCCCAAGAGTTGGAGGCCAGCCTAGACAGCATAGAGCAAGACCCCCCATTTCTAAATAAAAGTTATAAAACTTTTTAAAAAGTGGCTAAAATGCTATTAGGTCATGCAGACAGGGCATTTTAATTCTGTGGGACTGGCTAGTTGTTTATATACTGGATGGCCTTAAACTGTTGGCAAGGCACATTAGTATGGTTAACCTCATGTACTAAGCAGCAAGATAAAGTCTCACACCAGCCGCACTGATTCAGGTGATGGTGAGTTCCTAGAAAGGGAGATTTTTCTCTTTTTTCTTTTAAAAAATAAGAAATAGTAATCAAGTTTAAAGTATGATACAAGCAATTGAAAGTGCCATTGTAAAGTAATAGTATAGTGATTGTGTTTGATCAGTGAGGAAATAACACTTAGATAAAAACTAATATATCACTTTTATATTAATATTCATATTATGTTAGCAGCTTTTTGTAAGGCAGAACATTTTATAAGGATAATCACATTGCCCAAAAAGTAAATTTTCCTATGAATATAATAATTTAACATTTTAATTGAACATATACTTTAAGTATTTCTAGGTCTAAAGCTGATTGTTTTCAGTATGTATATTTAATCTATTATATGTGCTGTCTGACAAAATGTCTGTTTCCTACTTTAACTAAAATGTTCTCACTTTGAAGGGCGCTAACATTCTATTAACGGATAATGGTCATGTGAAATTAGGTAAGTAAATTGGAATTTTGTCACATGCACAAATGTGTTCTAAAATATAGTAAGTTTATGTTTTCCTTTGTAAGATCAACTTTTCCCTCCCCAGGGCAGCATCTGTGTTATTTTAGATGGAAGTCTCATCACAGAGCGAGTGTTACCTCTCTGTATCCATTTCCTCTTCTCTTAAGCAGCGATAAAATCTGTCCTTCACATAAGACAGATTTGTTATAAAGATACTGTGAGGTAGTATCCTTTGGGAAATCTTTCACCTCTAAACCCAGGAATGTGACTTCTAATAAGAAATCTGGACAAAATTATTTATAACCAAAAAATAAGACAAACAAAAATTTAAAAAAATTAGTAACTCCAGAAATCCTGCATTCTTTACATCAGCTTTTAAAATAAAATACATTATTACTTATATAAGAATGTAATTTAGATTCTGAATGTTGCTTTGTTTCGAACAGTAACTTGTATTACATTTTGTAACTTTTGGTTGTTAAAGTTACAATTAAAATAGAGTTCAAAACCTACAATGACTTAATTTGAAAGCTTAAAACAGATGTTCATATAGTAGTTTCATAAAGTCATTATCTGTTAGGTATTAAATGAAATATTTAATAACAAATATGAAACAATTTTGAACTATATAGTGTAAATCAAAATTTAAAATATGTATTTATTTTATAAAAATATAAATGACACTGTTTTGAACTACAGCCTATTGTAGAACTAATCAGATTTTAAAATATGTGTGTAATAATTAACATTTAACAAAATAAAATTTTCCTAAGTAACCTCTAAATATGAGAAAACAGAAAAGTCCTATTCTTTTCAGTTATCTAACTATTCATTGCCCAGTGAACAGTTCCTATTAGCAGTTTAATATTTTGTGGCAATGTTATATGTCTTGCTCAAGTACATACTGTTTATGTCTTAGTTGAGAAGGATTTACAAATCATCATCACTAAACTAGACAGTATTAGAACTCAACATACTTATCTTAAAGAATAGTAACAAATTGCACATCAAAATTAATTTCCTGATAGTAATTGATAATGGTACTAGAATGTATTGCTAAACTAAGATTTGGGGAATATTCTGTTTGGATATCTTTTCAAGCTATATGGATTTATCAATAGACTTACTGGTTTATTTGATGTCAGTCATCATGGATATGCAGAGAGTAAATGGAATGTAATACTATGTAAAGGTCCCTTCCAGTGATACTCCTTGAATTTCAGGTCCCAGGAATTAGAGATTATAATATTAATAAATCTGGCAGCTTAGATTCTCTCAGCTGTCTCTCATCAAAATTATTTGTTCTTGACCTTTGTTGTTATTTGATTTATGTGGGTGATATATGGGAATCTATTTGGTTATGATACACACTGACTGCTTTTGTGATGTTTAGTGCTAGTTCGTTAAAGTTAAAAATTTTAATGTAATATTTTAAAATATCTCACATTTCTGTGAAATCAACCTAATAAAAATAATTATTGAAAGTTTCTTTTCATATTGCCTTAACACTTTTATTTTCTCTTAGTTTTCTTTTCTAAATATTTCTCATTTTTTTAATAGCTGATTTTGGAGTATCTGCACAGATAACAGCTACAATTGCCAAACGGAAGTCTTTCATTGGCACACCATATTGGTAATTGTATTTTAATTGATATTTAGGTTTTTGTTCTACTATTATTGGGTACAACATTTCTAAAAAATGTAGTAGATTGGTCAAAATTTTTAGGACTAAGACATTAAGAAAAAGGTCATCATGAGAGGCCGAGGCGGGTGGATTGCTCAAGGTCAGGAGTTTGAGACCAGCCTGAACAAGAGCGAGACCCCGTCTCTACTAAAAATAGAAAGAAATTAATTGGCCAACTAAAAATATATAGAAAAAATGATCCAGGCATGGTGGCGGCGCATGCCTGTAGTCCCAGCTATTCAGGAGGCTGAGGCAGCAGGATTGCTTGAGCCCAGGAGTTTGAGGTTGCTGTGAGCTAGGCTGATGCCACGGCACTCTAGCCCAGGCAACAGAGTGAGATCTGTCTCAAAAAAAAAAAAAAGTCATCAGTAGTAAAGTAACTTAGCCATGTACATTTGTAGGTGGATTACATGGCCAAAAAATATTCTACCATTTTATTTTTCATTAATTTGAAAATGCTTTAAAGATTGATACGGCTTTCAGGAACCTTGATACAGTTCTAGCTTTGCTGGAGAAACCTGATCCTTGCTCCTATAAATAAAACATGTATTTTCACAGATGTTTTTATGTCTTTCTCCGCTCCCATTTCTAGTCCATATTCTAATTAGTCTTTCAACATTACATTGTTCAGAGTACCCCTTTACTCAGAACTTTTTGGCATGTTTTGGTTGTCAACAAGATCAAATGCAGATTTCTTGACGTGTGGAATCTTCTGTGGTCTGGCTTCTACCTACTTTATTAACCTTAATTCCTTATTAATCTCTTCCACAGACTTTCTTTTCTAATCTCATTTGTCTGCTGGGTATTCTTCGACTGCCCTGTAAAAACCTCCTTCATTTATTCACTCAATAGTTTTTGGCCACAAAACTATGTGCAGAGGTGATATTAAGTGTTATCATTATAGTGGTAGATGGATATAGAGCTTTTTTTTTGGTCACACCCAGTACTTTGTCGAAAGTGACAGTGCTCTGGCAGTCCTGCCGTCCTTCAGCTGATATGCTGCCAGTCCCCCGGTGCCCTCCTCATCTGACTCATCAGCAGTGGTGTGGCAGTAATTGTTACCACTTAATGTTTTTGTACAGAAGATATGATACATAACACTTGTATGTAGATTTGTCTTTTATCAAGAATATATTTAAAAAGTAAATTAGTGTTAAAAAGGCTTATAGGAAAAACTCTTCTTGTATCTTCTGCTGTCTCAAGGATTAACCATTATTTATACAATTTGTGTTATGATAGGTGAAGATCTTGGCTGTCCTCATCTTCCATTCATCTTATCCTTCCAGTGACTGACTTGTGGAGTCAGTTAATATACTATTATTATACTTGAAAAATATTTTCTGGATTTTAATAATTTCATTTTTAATTTTGTTAGTTTTTGGGTTTTTTAAAATCCCTGATTAAGACCTCCTATACCTTCCCACATTTTACAGTTTTGTAAATAATTTTCAAGACCATAAAGTCTGTCAGATTGTCAGTCCTGTCTGTCTGGTTGGTTGGTTGGTTGGTTTTGCTCTTGTTTTTTTACTGAAATAATTCTTCCCTGAATCCTCTTGCCTCCTCAGTCCAGCCTGAACTATTTATTCTCCTGCTCTTTTGTGTAGCTCTGCCCTGGGAGTTTTTCATCTTCAGTTTGGGATTCTTTTCTTAGATTGTCTTTCATGATTTACTCCCTCTTTTTTGTGAAACGTGTTTTAAATCTTTCTGAAAAAGAGTGCACGAGGAATAAAATTTCTGAGACTTTGCATGTCTAGCCTTGCACATTATTGTTAATTTGGGTGGGTATAGAATTCTAGGTTGCAATTTGCAAGGTATTGTGCTAGTATTTTCTTTTCTGTGGTGCCCATGGGAAGTATGATGCCATTATGATCCATGATCCTTTGAATGTAACTCCTTCACCCAGAATCATTCCTTGTGTTTTGATATTCCATAATGATAGACCACAGAATATTTTGGTTTGTTTTTTCAGTTGTTTTTACTTTTATTTGTTGTACTTGGCATTTGTGCTTTTCAATCCAGAGATTCTTGTCTTTGCAGTTATGGGAAATACTCTTATATTACTTGATAATTTCTTTGCTATACTTTTTCCTACTCTTTCTTTCTAGGACTCAATAGTTAATTTCTTGGACCACTTAAAATAATCCATTAATTTTCTTATATCTTCTCTCACTTTTTAAAAATCTTTTCTGCTTTCTATAAGAATTTCTCAAATTTTTCTCTCACATTTTCATGATAAAGGTTTCTCTCAAATAAATGTCTGATAATCCTTGTAATTTGGTTCACGTTGAAGAGCAAGATACTAAGAATTGATTCATAACATAACTCTTTGTGCATAGGAGGTAGGGTATAAACCTGGTTGTTAGTGTTGTAGAACTGGGCAAGTGAAGGAACCTGGGGGACTCATTGTTCAGTATACACACACTTCTCCTTAATCTTGTCATCTCCCTTTAACCTCTGCTCCCCTTTGTTCCTGGTATCTTAGTCTGAAGCCTCTTTTGTTTGTCTTGGTCCTTATCCAGTGGGAATGAGGAAAAAGTAATTGCTGGGCTTTCTTTACTGGATGAGATTGGGAATCTGAAGGACTGTTGACACTTTCAAATACTCCTGTTTTCAACCCAACCTCAACCCTACTTTTGCTACTTTTTAATCCTAACTTGTCAACATTTCTGGGATTCTTAGGGGCTGATTGGCTTGTTCTTTTCCTTGGCACCCAAGAAGGTTTGCCCTACCTCCTGTTTGCTACATCATTTCTATTCTCCTGTCTATTTTCAGTCTTTGTGTGTTGTGGTTCTAGGTAAAATATGTCTCTTGGACTTTTCAAAGATGATGTGTGTTTATATTTTTCTTTGTTCTTTTTGTTTGGGGTCGATTTCTGGGAGGAGTGAAGGCTTGAAGTGCTATCTGTCATTATTTTTAAGTACTCCATCTTCTCAATTTTATTTTAAACATCTGAACAAGCTCTCTCATTCAATCCTCAGGGTCTAGCCTGATTCTATACACATATTCACTAAATGTTTGTTGATGATGACTGATCTCCAGCAGCTTTAGAGATTAAAAACTAATGTCATTCCTCTTACGATAGTGTGGGAAGTATCTCGGAAACATGTGAAATTGTGAATTAGGTAAAGTTACTTTTCTGAATACTTCCCCTCTATATCTCTCTCTCTAGTATCATGTCTTTCTCACCTAAACTCTGGGGATATGGAATCTCTCTCTTCCAAAGTGATTAGGTTGGTAGTTACTCAGTTATTCAGAAAGTCTACTGAAGTGGCAGTTCTCAATGTAATACATATGTACCTAAACATTTCATTTCAATTTAAGGCATGTATGTACATTTATTCAACAATCTTTTGATACAGAACTAAGTCCTTTTCTTTGAGTGGATCACTTATTAGAGTTCCATCTTAGTAGTGCAAACCACACCCATAAAGCATCAACTATATTTCCCAGTTTGTGTTTTCCTAAGGTGCAGTGAGAACTTAGATGTGTGAAGCATGTGATTTTTTCCCCCCTTAGGTTTATTGAGGTATAAATTTACCCTTATTAGGTACAGAAGTCTATGAATGTTTAGAAACTTGTGTGCTATGGTGGTAAGAAACACCACCACAATCAAGTTAAAACGGATTGCCATCATCCAAAAAAATTTTCTTTCGTGCTTTCTCCTGGCAGCCCTAGCCTCTGTTAACCCCTGATCTGATTTCTGTCTCTTTAGTTTTACCTTTTCTTCAAATGGCATACAGATAACATCATATAGTCCTATAGTCCTCCCAGTCTTTTCTAGTTGTCATATTCTTACCTAATTTGCCAGATTTTTTTCATCTATCTTTAGACATTTGTCTTTAACAAGTTCTTCTGAAGTGTTCACTGATATTTTTAACCGTATCGCCTGTGTGCATTTCACACCCTACTAAGGCATTTCTACCAGGTACCTAGAATCTAGTCACCAATAAAGTAATAAATGACATACTTGAGGGGTTTTTTTGTTTTTGTTTTTAACTTTACTAACTTCCTTGACTTTTCTGAAATCTTACCAAGAAGACAAATGTACATGTATCAGGCTACCTACTTAAATTGCTCTTTGATAGGAGAGAGTTGAGATGTTTATTTCAATTAGTTGTTTTCAAAATGGTTGTTTAGGATTTCACATGTTTATATTTGAAAATTAATCATTAAAATCAAATGCAAATTTATAGAAGTAGAATAAGACTGTAGGAAAGTTAAAAGAAACAAAAAAAATTACTGAATTTGGGCAACTTTCCTCTAGATAAATACATTCTTAAAAAGTAGCTACTCATTTTATAACTTTTCTGTTGCTATAATAATACTGAAAAAAGCCAAATAAATGTGTAGTAAATAAAAATTAAATACTAAATACGAAGATTATTGGTACCCCGAGGGATAGTTTTGGTGAAATGAAAACAGAGACCATTTTGCAGTTTAATTAAAAATTATAGATTGTTTATTGCAAATGTTATTTCTCTGTAGAATTTTGGATGTACAGAGAAGAAAGATTGGGAATGTGGATGATCTTTGGGCATATTGCTCTATTATAATTGTACACTTTTATAAACCTTAGTAAGTAGTATAACAAAGTAACAAAGGGCTCAGTAGTAGAGGCTTGGGATGGAGGATCCTACGAGATGTCAAGATCTTGGAAAAGGTGGACCTTTTAAGTACTATATATTTGTTTTTCAGAAGTCAAGGCCTACCTCTCCCTTAATTTACTTATTTATTTTTTTAATTTTATTTTTCATCTTTTTATTTTTGGCTGGATAAGTTTATCCAAAGGAAAGAGGACTCTCCCTTAATTTAGATAGTGATAATTCCATGTGCCTCTGGGGGGACTGACTATGAGTAAAATGCAATAAACAGAAGGTTTTTCTTTTCTGGGATATTTCTTTCAGGATGGCTCCAGAAGTCGCAGCTGTTGAGAGGAAAGGGGGGTACAACCAGCTCTGTGATCTCTGGGCGGTGGGAATCACTGCCATAGAACTTGCCGAGCTGCAGCCTCCTATGTTCGACTTACACCCAATGAGGTCAGTGTGTCATAAAGTTGGAGAATCTTATGCTTAAATTAATTTTTTTCTCTTCTTAGTATTATTTATTTTGTCATGAACAAATGATTTTCTTAGTCTTGCTTTACCTTATTTGGGAATAAATAGTAATAGAATTCATATTCGCATTAAAATGTGAAATATTAAAATGCTGTGTGATGATTTGTTAATTTTTCAGAGCATTATTTCTAATGACAAAAAGCAATTTTCAGCCTCCTAAACTAAAGGATAAAATGAAGTGGTAAGTATTTTTGTGTTATTCACTTTTACAGTAAGATGACCAAAAAAGAATTAAAATGTGAAAGTCTAATTTTCAAAATTTCTTAGGTCAAACAGTTTTCATCATTTTGTGAAAATGGCACTTACCAAAAATCCAAAAAAAAGGCCTACTGCTGAAAAATTATTACAGGTATTATTCTTGCCTTGAAATGTATATATTTTTCAAAAGATAAAATGCCAATCAGATTTCTAGTAAGTGTTCTGTACTATATTTTATTTTTATAGCACCCTTTTGTCACACAACCTTTGACACGGTCTTTGGCAATTGAGCTGTTGGATAAAGTGAATAATCCAGATCATTCCACTTATCATGATTTTGATGATGATGATCCTGAGGTAGGAATTGTTTTTCCCAACTGGTATATGTAACATATGTACATATGTGTATGTTATGTTATGTATGTATGTACATGTCAAAATCAGTTTTTTAAATTTCTGGGTCTAGTTTAAATTAAAAAGCTCTTACGGAGATAATTAACTCTGAATTTGTCTCTCTTGGGAAGTTATGTGCTAGATTTTTTTTTATTGGCTACTTATAGGTGACTATTGTCTGAAAATGACACAGGCAAATCATTTAATCCACTTGTTGAAATTACTGTAGTTATTTCAAAATAGTCATTTTAGATGAAGTTGCCAAATGAGTCATCCACTGTAAAAGGAAAAGCAAATGTGAAGTATCTAAAGAAGATGTTAGAATACTCAAAATTTCTCTTCAGCTTGCTTCTTTAAAAAAATACTCTTACCATATTTTATGAATTATTAGAGATTCATGAAATCCATGATTTTGTTGGTGACTAAAACTCTAATTGTCCATTATGGAAATGTTAAAAAAAATGAGACAGGATAGTTGTTAGAGAATAGAGTAACCCTAATATGATGGAAGCATGGATATTATTAATTGACGTTTCACTTCTGTTAGCATATTTAACATTCCTAGCACAACTATTCCTAATAGTTGTAGCACCCAAGATAAGCTCTCACTATATGTGACATGGCAGAATTCTATTATTGGTTCTGTAAACAAAAGTGGATGTCCTTGAACTCTGCTAGCTTTATGGAAGGCACTTAAAATGTCTTTCTTCTTATAATCAATTAACTTCTTAAAATACATATCAGTTTTATTCCTGACATGCCAGAGGTTCCATTTTCAAAAGGTTTCCTTAAGTCATATTTTTCAGTTTATTCTTTATCTTATACTGGAACCCTTGACAAATCTCATATTGAGACATGCAGAGTATAAGTTTACCAGTACTCCTTTGCAGTCACTTAAATGTGAACTAGTTAGGTTCTGTAAATTATGACAAATCTCATATTGAGACATGCAGAGTATAAGTTTACCAGTACTCCTTTGCAGTCACTTAAATGTGAATTAGTTAGGTTCTGTAAATTATGACAAATCTCATATTGAGACATGCAGAGTATAAGTTTACCAGTACTCCTTTGCAGTCACTTAAATGTGAACTAGTTAGGTTCTGTAAATTATTACAAACCTTCTTTACAAAGGTTTCTTTAAAGGAAAAGAATTGAATATTGGCATTATTCCTGCTCATGGAAGCTATAATGGTATACCTGTAACCTAGAGGAACTGAGAAAGAATGAAGAACACTTTTTTAATAAAAAAAAGCTTCTGAAAAACGTAAAATGCTATGAGTCCATCTAAGCATAAGTTATACAGTTTTTGACAATTACTTAAATCAGTTATGGTTCCAATTGTGGCAAAGAGCAAAATTCAAACTAATACCCCCAATAAATGTATATATTAATATGTGTATATTTTTAATATGATTTTTAGGTACTTTAGATACTAAAGTTTCCCTTTAGGTACTTTATATGTGTACATTTTTAATATCATTTTTTAAAAAAATATCTGTTGAAGAATAAATCCTTAAAAGGCTTCTGGTATCATCAAATAATCAGTCATCATTAAATAATAGATGCAAATGGTAATCTTTACACTGTTATCTTTCCCTGCCCCTTGCCCATCCTTTCCCTTCCTTCTTTTCTTTCTTTCCTTTTGAGAGACATGGTCCCCCTCTTGTCTTCCAGGCTGGAGTGCAGAAGCACAATCATAGCTCACTACAGCCTGGAACTCTTGGGCTCAAGTGATCCTCCACTTCAACCTCCCGAGTAGCTGGGACTATAGGTGCTTGCCAGTTTTTTTTTTTTTTTTTTTTTTTTTGAGACAGAGTCTTGCTTGTTGACCAGGCTAGAGTGAGTGCCATGGCATCAGCCTAGCTCACAGCAATCTCACACTCCTGGGCTCAAGCAATCCTTCTACCTCAGCCTCCCGAGTAGCTGGGACTACAGGCATGCGCCACCATGCCCGGCTAATTTTATATATATATTAGTTGGCCAATTAATTTCTTTCCATTTATAGTAGAGACGGGTCTTGCTCTTGCTCAGGCTGGTTTCGAACTCCTGACCTCGAGCAATCCGCCCGCCTCAGCCTCCCAGAGTGCTAGGATTACAGGCGTGAGCCACCGCGCCCGGCTTGCCAGTTTGTTTTTATTTTTAGAGACAAGATCTCACTACATTGCCCAAGCTGGTCTTGAACTCCTGACATCAAGCAGTTCTCCCACCTCAGCCTCCCAAAGTACTGGGATTATAGGTGTGAGCCACTGCACCCAGTCCCAGAATTTCTTGATGTCAGAATAGATCCAAAGTGCTTAGTGTACTTGATTCATCCTTGTAAAATGAATCTAGACAAGTCTAATGTTGCACATATAAATAAGTGGGATAGGCTGGGCATGGTGACTCACACCTATAATCCCAGCACCATGGGAGGCCAAGGTGGGAAAATCATTTGAGGCCAGGAGTTTGAGGCCAGTCTGGGCAAGATAGCGAGACCCCTGTCTCTACAAAAATTTAAAAACTAGTTTGGTGTAGTGGCATGTACCTGTAGTCCAGCTACTGGGGAGGTTGAGACAGGAAGATTGCTTGAGCCCAGAAGTTTGAAACTGCAGTGGGCTATGATCATACCACTGCACTCCAGCCTGGGCAGCAGAGCAAGACCCCATTTCTTTAAAAAAAAAAAAAATCAGAACACATTATTACTTGTATTTAATTTCATATGTATTTAATCTAGTGACAGAAGTGCTCTCTACAAGTAATAATTTGTGTTAAGTGGGTAATAAAAATATTTTCACCTTCATAGTTTGAGCTGTGATTATGGTTATCCTTTTTTATAGCATTTGCAAAATTGTTGTATTTTGTTCCCATTTTTACTTGAAATATTTTTTCATATTTGGGTTATATCGTGGATCAAACTGACCTGATTATCCAATGCCACATATTGATTTCATTCTATTCTAGCCACTTGTTGCTGTACCACATAGAATTCACTCAACAAGTAGAAATGTGAGAGAAGAAAAAACACGCTCAGAGATAAACTGTAAGTATATACTACACACAGTTCATAATTTAACAATGGAAAAATAAGATTTCAAGTTACAATTTAGTTACCATTTCTTGTCTAACAAACAGTTTTCTTACTAAAACACTGTTAAAGTTTAAGTAGAACAGTAAGAATTTTATTTTCCTTATTCCTGTGGAATTTTTGGTGGCAGGGATACAAGGTGTATATTTATGTTGTTACTGTTTGGGAGGAGAAATAAAATTCTCAGAATAAACAGGATAGAAGTAATCAAGGCAATGCTTCTTAAACTCATATGTGCCTGTAACTCACGTATAGAGCTTGTTAAAGAACAGCTTCTGATTGGGTAGATCTGGGATGTGATCTGAGATCCTTTACTTCTAATAAGCTTCCAGGTTACGCACATGCTGATGGGTCCAAGGGCCATCAGTACTTTGAGTAGCAAGGAGAGAGAGAAAGGTCTGCAGACTGGCTTAGCATCTGAGTAACCTGGGAGCTTTTGAAATGTATTCTCAGGCCCCACTTTTTCAGAGTGTCATTTGCTAAGTCTTGGGTTGGCCTAGGAAACCTTTTAAAATAGACCTCCAGGTAATTCCTATGGACAGCCAAGTCATGGGCTCACTGAGACAAGTCATTTATTCACATAGGATCCAGTACTATCAACTCATTAACGATACTCTGTCAATAGAAATCCTGGAACAATAATGCTCTAACTTTTTATTCCTTAAAAGCACTTATTCCCAATGACTTAGAATGCTAATTTAATGCAGTCAGGTTTATGATTAACAGTTTTCTGTAAGCTAAAGACTCATCGCAGGGGACCTGAAATCCTAAATGACCTTACTGAAGTTAGGTAATATAGTAACTTAAGATGACTACTATTAAGAAATTGTCCTCAATTTTTGGCTACATTAATAATGTTGATAATGATCTAGCTCATATTTTAATTAAGATGAATCAATCTCTTAATCTCAAAAGCCATGTAAGTTAAGTAAGGGCAGACCCTATCACCGTTTGATATGGTGCGGGGAATAAAAGAAAGGCAGAGGTGAAGAGATTTGACTGTGGGATTGAGTCATACAGTGTGTTAACAGCAAATCATACATCTCTCAACTTCCTTCTAGTTCACTGGTCTTTCACAAACACTGCTTCACTTCAGGAACCACCTCAGTCTATTATGTGGCTTTTACAGTGGGAATTATTTGAGTCCCTTGTGAACCTTCCCTTGGGATTTTGGCCAGACCATACAATGTATATTAAGTTCTTGGGCAAAGTTTTATGCTGGTGATACCTGGAAATGCTCTTAACAGGAGGAAACACCTGAAAGAAAGCATGGTGGGTTATATAAAAAGCTCAGGAGTGGGATCTGGTCCTTTGTTTGCCAACAACTAGTTGCATGACCACACAAAATTATTTTTGAAGTTCCTTCTGCAGCCACAAGATTTAAATTTGCTAATTTCCCTGTTATGAAAATGACAACCTTAACAAATGAGAGCATTTTTCATTATTTTTTAATATACACAAGTAATTATGAAATATCTTTTTCATTTCTTTAATATACAGAAAATAATTAGAGATGCTTATAGTTGATTTTAAAAATTGTATGTATTCAGTACTATTAAATCTAAAGTACCTTCTATCTTGTTATCTAATTCTATTAAAAAATTATTTCCAGGTGCTTTATAGCAAAGTGTAGTTATTTCTGAATCACTCTATGCTAATTTATATCAGTGATTCTCAACTTCTAAATGCATATGCATGTGTGTGCTGTTTGAAACTAGACATCTTATACCTCAATTTTTCTGAGATTCTGATATGCTCTCCTTTTGGCAGGAGCAAGTGATACATGTGTGTTATAATAGACATCCCTCCTTTTTTCCTGTTTGCCAGAAATATGGGTGTCATATCCCTCTGGCATGCTAGGGTAACAGCAGGATTAAAAATGACTACTTTTAATAATTTGGGGGTTTGGTATTGGAGGCTCTCAAGTCTTATTCAGTTCTCTAACAAATGTCTACTTTTCGGAATGTTTTATTATTTCATGTGAGACATGATATATAGAAGAATGCTCACTAATCCTGTTATCTATAAAGGCAGCCTTTGGAAAAATGATTTATTTTAATAATGGGTGTGTATTTGTTCCTCTTGATGTTTTATGTTTACAGTTACTTGTTACATCTCCATGCAACCAGTGTTTTCTCTTTACTAAACTAAATGGTGTTTAGTCAACATATATGTAAAAATGGACTCATTTGCCCGAAGGATATTACTTTTTCCCTTTTAGGAAGGCCCCTGTGCCTTCAATTAAATATGATAAGCAAAGACTTGATTAAGAAGAAATAATTGTGGTGCTCTTCTTATCTGCCATAGTAGCATCAGTTTTGACCCATAATGGCTAATGAAGGGTCAGCGTGTGATTATGTTGGAGCTGTCTCAAAGACACTAAGAAAGAGTTTTCCTCTGGACTTTAAAATATAGATTTGTGGTGGTATAGATTTGTGGTGGGTGGTCTCACATACATTTAAGGAGAGATGGTAGAGGAAGTAGAGATCAGAACCAATAGACAGTTACAGATAGCTGGGAGGTTTTTTTTACATTTTGAGAACATTATAAATAGCACTGCAGACTGGGATGATTGACCAACAGTTGTTGAAAAGTAGCTGGAAGATTCTTTGGCGGAAACTTATCATAACTTTAGGGAATTTGAAGAGAACAGAAAAATGATACCAGTGTAAGGGATGAATCTCTATAGGGACTTTGCTCCCCTTTCTGAGAACGTGTTCTCCATCCACCGAGTGCGGGTATGGGGATACTGAAAATTCCTGCACTTATATACCAGTTACGGCTTTTAGTAAGATAGCATCCCTGCACTCAGGGATTATGCGCTCTAGTAGGAAAAGCAAGCCTATTCACAGGTGACAATAATCCTCATGTAACTGTATTACAGATTTCATTTTGCATTTTGAAAACAAGTGCAGGTGAGAGCTATTTGGTAGTGCTTTATCAAGATGAAGTATATGTTTTAATACCTTAGACAAAATTATTTTGTAATCTTTGATGTGTGATCATACATCACACATGTTCATGTGATCGTATGGGAACAGGTGTGACGGACCCATTCTTGTAGAGCCTACTTATCTCTAAGGGCCATTTAATATCTGCACCATTAACAGCTAAAAAGCATATACATCAATAACTAGAGAGCTATGTTTCTCAACCATTTGTTTTTTACTTAATGCCTCCTATTGCTAAATATTCAAATCTCATGGTCTTTAATTGGTATTAACATTCACAATGAAGTTACATACAAAAGAAGTTATAAAAATGATTATGCTTTGAAACCTCACTTTTTTCTTGACCTTGGTTGAAAATTGCTGGTTTTGGTACTTACTGGTTGAAATTTAATGTATTATGGCTACTTTTCTTCTTTTTCATGTTTTGTATTTGTGCCTCTGTTTTTATCTCAGGGGTCTTGAATGCTTTACCCAGGTTGTAAAAACAGATAATGATAATGAGATACAGAAATTAAAGGTAAAGATAGTGAAACATTCAATACATGAGAATAGCAAAGAAAAAGGTGAATGTAGTATAGTTCATTTATGTCTACTCTAGCTAATTTATACTTTAGCTGCAGTAATATATTGTTAACTAATTTGCTATTGTTATGTAGCAAATTACCCCCCAAAATTTAGCAACTTAAAACAATAGACATTTATGGTCTCACACAGATTTAGAGAGTCAGGAATGCAAGACATCTTAGTGATGTGATTCCAGCTCTGGGTCTCATTCCATCTGAGTGATCCCAGCTCTGGGTCTCATGAAATTGCAGTCAGGATGTCAGCTGGGGCTGCAGTAATCTGAAGGCTTGACTAGGCTGGAAGGTTGATGAGGTGGAGGTCTCTCTTCCTTGCCACATCGCCTCCCCTTAGGGCTGCTTACAGTGTAGCTTCCTCTAGAGCAAGTGCTCCAATAGAGAGAGCCCAGGACAGAAGCCTTATTTTGGAAATGATATACCATTGCTTCTACTGTGTTCTTTCAGTCACACTGACCAATCCAGTGTGGAAGTGTTGTGAATACTAGGGGCCATCTTGTAGGCTGGCTTCCACAAGCAATCTGCAGCAACTGCCGACTACCCACTTAAATACTGAGTTAAGATTGTCTCTATTTTATGTTGGATCACAACGAAGTCGCAAGTTAGATCCTGACTATATAACATACGTGTAATTTTGTTCATCTTTTTTGCTATGGAAAAGGCCTAGGATTAACATGTTAAAGCTTTAGTAATTTAAGACTTTCTTGAGCTTTTTCCAGCTAACAGATTCTCTGTTTAAATATTGGATTGAAAAGCAGACTTACAAATGGCAACAGGTATATGCAAAAATGTTCAACCTCACTGATGTGAAAGGAATGCAAGTCAAAACCACAACAAGATTTTATTTCATCCCAGTTAAAATGGCTATTATCAAAAATCCAAAAAATAACAGATGCTAGCAAGGTTACAGAGAAAGAGAACTCTTGTACGTTCTTGGCGGGAATGTAAATTAGTAGAGCCACTGTGGAAAACAGTATGGAGGTTCCTCAAAAACTAAAAATAAAAGTACCATATGATCCAACAGTCCCATTGATGGATATATATCCAAAAGAAAGGAAATCAGTATATTAAAGAGAGATCTGCTCTCTCATGTTTATTCCAGCACTATTCACAATAACCAAGATATGGAA